TAGAATTTTTAAATTTCACTTCATGACTCCGGTTTGTCACCATTACGTCAGTTTTAAAAACCGCTAGACTCCGCTAGATCAAATCTAGCGCTCGCCCTCCTAATCTCCATGCTAAATTCAGTACTTTCTCCAGATCCGATCAGAAACTTCGTCCATGTTTATCAATTCATCATCAGCAACGCTAGCTCTAGCTCTAGACGAAATCTCATCATAAAAACCCTCATCTTCCGAATAAAATCATCCTTTAACTTCACTTTCAACTCTTTCACTTTCCTACATCACAATTTCCTCCAACATCCAGCGTATCGCTCAGGCCGCTACATACGAGATACAAAGTCTGACAGAAAAGCTCACCCCTCACCCCTCTAGAATCACCGCTGCGTAGAAAGGGAAGAAGAAAGAAATAGATGATGGAACGCCCGCAACGTTCACNCCCCCCCCCCTCCTCACTTCAACAATCTCACACTTCTTTATACGGTTCCTTGTCTAGTCTCATTGTACTTCCGCGTAGCTACTGCGCACGGACAGTGCGGATCCCCAACGGGCGCTTGTCAGCTGTGAATGACGAGTAAAAACATAGAAAACGGTAATCCCTCTAGACGGTGGCAGGTTTGTACGCCTCCTACTCCACAGGCTTTACTCACTGCACCTTATTTACGCTTTGTAATTCACTTTTCCACAACAAACGATGCAAAAATATCATCTAGGAGGTAACAGACAGATTTACAGGTCTAGAGGTTGAAAAGCTTTCTAGAGGAGGGATGAATGCTTCATTTATAGTTTTGCTTTCGAATGAAAGCATTGTTTTGGTCAAATCCGGGATTTCCAATTTTTTGTATCAGGATAACTAATTTTGGGCCGCAGGAGTTAGAATATAGGGGAGGGTGTGCCTGTACCACTCACCTAAGGGGAAATGCCAGTTTTATATTTTATATTTCAACGTGAGTATAAAAAACGTATTTGTGAGACTTCTTTAACTATTGAACTCGTTATTCTCGAAGTGTAGACGCCTAATTCTCCTTAGAATCCACGAAATTGATTGAAAATAAAAGAGAGAGCCTATTGAGCGGTACTACCCGCCGTCGGGTAATACCGCTCGGCACGATTCCAATGCCGCTCATAGGGTTTTGCGTGTATCGCTCTCGCCGCAACTATGAGCGGTATTACCGGCTCAGCTCGGCGTCAACAAAATTGTTGGTAATTATTGACACGAGTGGAGTTTTGAGTTCGAATTGGTCTCAAATTACGTGTGAAAGTACCACGAATCGAATAACCACAGTTTAATATGAGGATTCAGCGTTTGAAACTATCAAAAACCTTAATTACAAGTCCACAAATTATGCACTGTAAAGACCTCAAAACTTCGTTACGTGTTTTTTCATATTTAAAGTGGTAAATAAACTGAAAATTTTCCGACAATCACTAGCATCAAATTCCTAGCATCAAATTCTTCATGATCAGGAAAAGAAAGAACTTTTTAAGTTGATGGTTGCGGAGAAAATCGGGTGAGCGGTATTACCCGCTGAGCGGTACAGGCACACCCTCCCCTACTATTTTTAGATCATGTCCGGATGTATGCATGTATGTGCGAGTGTATGTGACAGATAGTTTTTCGACGATAACTGCAAAAATAGTTGTTTACATGAATCCAATTGTGATTTAAAATACTCTTCCCAATGCCATCTTGACAGTATTCAGGGAAAGGTAACAAATTTTAACGTTGAGCCAATGTTGGGGCAGTGGTGACTACCAACGTTGCGGCAATGTTGGCCGTCAATGTTGTGAATATTCGGGGAAAGGTAAAAATTTTTAACGTTGAGCCAATGTTGGAGCAATGGTGGCTGTCAACATTGTGACAATGTTCGCTGTCAATGCTGGAGTAATATCGGATGCCAACATTGGCGCAATGTTGTATTCAATGAGTCATCGAATTCAGTTTAAAATACATCATCATAGAAATTCCATTGTCAAGCAAATTACCGACTTATTAGCAAAAATATATTGGCTATGTTGTGACGAAAGCGATTTTCCACTTGTTTTGAAATTTGAAGAGTTTCATATTTACAAAGGACACACCTGCATCTAAAACATCCACAATAATAGCCTCATCCTTCCAATATTCAGCTGCAGTTACACCCGAGCTTTCCCAAATTCTTCACACGTTACTCTACCACAAAAATAAGCGAACAAAAAGTAGACATAACACCAGTAGAAAGAGTGTTGCATTGAAGAGATGTAGACACGTCGATTTATCTTACGTTTCATTGCCGACTATCGGGCCTGTCAATCGCATTGCGGTTCATTGAGACGTAGTTTGGTTTGCCCATGCTGTTACAGGCATTAGTGTGCGTGCCTTGAAGTAGTCGATACACTATGGATTGAGATGAAATGCGATGGTGAGAGGCAGGTGTGGGTGGGACGGATGAGGCAAGTGAGAAAGAGAAAATGAAAAAAAAAAAACAGAAATAGAAACTGAGGAATGAAAAGTTATTGGTTGCTCTCAGCTTTATGCCCCAACGAGTGCGGGTGTTATGGACATGAAAAAAGTCCAGAGTTATTCGGTTCATTGGGATTTCGTGCATTTGGATTTTCACATTGCTATTTGATTGGAGTGAAAAATTTCGTCACCTGTGAAATACAATTTTGGCTGTTTGAAAAATTAGGGGAACGACAATAACAAATTTCGGCGCTAGAAAGTCGTCCTTGTTTTTTTTTTGTGAGAGAGGAAATACTCAAAGTAATTAGACGCCAGTTAAATGGTTTATAGATGCCCCTTGTCAGTTATAATTCACGAGTTATCGCGGCGCTCATGTATCCATTAGAATGAAAAACAAAAACCAAGAGAAAAAAGCCTAGAGTAGGAATAAAAAAAAAGTAGTGCACAGAGGTTTAACGAGGTGAAAGCGCGACCGTCACGCGTACAACCCAGGGACATACTGCGGAGGGTTGACACAAAAGCCAACTGCGGTTTAACGAGATGAGGTGGGTAGTGTATTTTTTTTTTGCCACTGTTATTCTAAAAACATATTCTGACATTCAGTGAACTTATTCACCAGAAAAAGTAAGTAATAGTGGGGGTAACACAGCTGGAGGGTTTCTGGCGAGTGCGTTTATTCCATAACAGAGAGCAAATGAGATATGAAAAAATCATAGAGGAGAACTCTTTGAAATAATTTCCTGATTTGGGTGGGATGAAATGGAATTAATGAAGGAGTCAAGTCCTCATTTTCACGGCATCATTGGTATTGTTTTCAAAAACTGGTGAAAGCCTGTGGAAACTGATTCAAATCAATAGGAGAAATTGTCTCTTGCTGGGATGTTCTTAAAACTAGATTAACTTTAATCAGAAAGCCTAGACATATTAGATTTCCAATCTATCGTGTCTAGATCAGGAGTCTAGCGTAGTTAGATTGGCAATCTGGCGTTGCTAGATTAGGAATCTAGCGCAGCTAGACTAGAAACCTAGCGTATCTACATTAGAAATCTAACGTAAATAGATTAGGAATCTCTGGTGTCTAGATTGGGAATCTAACGCATCTATGTTAGGAATATAGTGTAGCTAGAATAGGAATATAGCGTAAATAGATTATGAATCTAGCTTAACTACATTAGAAATCTAACGTAAATAGATCAGGAATCTCTGGTGTCTAGATGGGGAATCTAAAGCATCTATGTTAGGAATCTAACGCAGCTAGAATAGGAATATAGTGTAGCTAGATTAGGAATATAGCGTAAATAGATCAGGAATCTAGCGTGGATAGTTCAGAAATTTAACGCAGCTGTATTAGGAATATAGCGTAGCTACATGAGAAATTGAGCGTAAATAAATCAGGAATCTATCGTGTCTAGATTAGGAATTTAGCGTATCTAAATCAAGAATCTAGTGCAACTAAATCTGACATTAGGTGTGAACCAAAATCTGACATAGACAAATTGAGATTCTAGCGTAGCTACGTTCGAAATCTAGCGCAACTAAATAAGGGATCCAGGAAAACAAGTCGAGGAATCAAACGCATTAGTGACTTTTTGCCTCCATTGAGGGCTAATTCAAAACACTCAACATAATAAAACCTGCATCGGATTCCACTATGTTTGTTTCAAACCGCATCCAGCCAATCTAATGGCGCTTGACACAAAACTCCAAACAAAACACTCCCAAACGAAAACAATCCCCCAAAAATAAAACTCCGCCAATAAAACTGTAAATTAAGTTATCGTGATAGTGTGTCGGAAGCACAAGAGGTGAGAGACTCCCTTCCCTCTTTATCCCTAGTTTTTCTTGTTAGCTCTATTTCGAACATCCGTAGCACGGCGTTCCCTCGGAGATGATATTATCTTCGGAGGGGGATAGTATGGTGCAGCACCAACGAGATTAATAAGGCGAGATTCCCTCGGTCCAGAGTCTCGTGTTATCCAACACCTTGGGTAGTGCAACGAAGACCGATAAATATGTTGGTGAGGGGTCAGACGAAAGAGGCGGAGAAATGGGCAGGAGAACGAAGTAAGGGCAAAGGCGGGGGGAAAGCTTGCGTGAACGCGACAAGACAAATACAAGAGGATGAAGATTAATGTTGGTCGAAGCGACCGTGGCACCGTTTGCGCGCTTGCTCGTGAGAAACAACCCGCCTTTCGGCGGTAGTAGTTGTATGCCTGCTGCCTCAAACCATCTACCTCTGTCTCCCATCATCTCTCTCTTATAACCCTGCCCGCCGCCCTCCCCCCTCCCACCGAGCAATTTCCAAGTCCGATCGATCCTGTCACACTCGCTCTCATTCCTTCCGTTATCTCATGAATTTATTGCCACTGGGACAACAATGGCTGAGGTTTTTATTCGTTCGATTTTCTTTCCTGAAGCACTCGGTGCTTCATTAAATCCAAGTTGAGTGATATTGGACGGTTTAATTGAGCAAAGCCATTATCCCCCAAACAACTTCCTGAATGACTTAGAAGATGACTATCCACGTTTATTTCTATTGTTGCAGATTTGTAGTCGGCGTGACATGGATGTGAGTTTTACGAACGTGTTGGAGGGGGCTCGCCAGTACTTTCAGGGACTGCCAGCACCAAGTACAACAACATCATCGGACAATCGTATCTACGATGAGCAGTCAACAGTACCCCAGAGTACCCAAAATTTATCAACAATTGATTCACGCACAGAAACAAGATACAATGATACAAATAAACTCGATACACAACGTGATAATAGCCAAATTGCTGAATCCTACTGGAGTACAAGCAATGAATTACGTACAATTGAACCGTATCCCCCCCAGCCAACGCGCGTTGAAGTGCCAGACACGAGGCCGGATGAGAGTGGTGAGTGTGCAGGTAGTCCAGCAACAAGCCTGACAGAAATGCAACCCCCAAGTAGACCACACTCAACAAATCGTCAATTGACCGAACAATTGCATAACAATTCCCCCAAATCTCACTCACCACCACCAGTCTATCAACAATTGTCCAGTGTTACAAGGCCTTCGTCGTATCGTTCAACAACGGATATGTTGAATTCAAATAATCACTCGAATTATCAATCCAATGAACGTCCACCAAGCGCCCCGGTAGCTCAGCGAACCCAGTATTATCCGCGGTATCATCATCCAGACATAACGAAAAGTGCACCAGCACCGTTCTCCCAGAATTCCATTTACCAAGCGCCAACACCACAAGCGAGTATCAATCCCTCCGCGACACAGCCCCCAACAAGAACCAGTCCTATCGAGGACAATGGACGTAATTCTCAACAAGACTCCGCAGCCTACTCTGTACCTTCAGCAAGTACCCCGATGTACCCAGCCGGAAACTATCGTCCAACAACGACAAATCGTCCAGCGGATCCAATGCATTCCTCGTCATCAACATCTTCCAATTCAAATCCCTGCAGTCCCCGGCACGCACAGACGAGTCACATTCCTTCTCCCCACAGTCATCCTGGACACATTCCTTCACCACATCTGCCAGTACCATCAGTCGTACCCCCGTCCTCATTATCCTCATCACATGCCCTGTCAGTCCAGAATCAGCATACTAGTCGATTAACTCCAACCCATCAAAATCCATACGCGAATAGAGTTGCAATACCTTACACAGGTGCTAATCACAATCAGCAAATGCTACCACCCCCATCACCAAGTTATAGTCTTGGTACATCGCACGAGTCTACAAGCCGTCATGCAAGCTCACCACAGAGACAATCACCGCACATAGCGGTGCACACTGGCCATCCCATTTCCCCTCATCATCACACATCCTCACCCCACAACACCACAAATTTCCAACCCCATTCTCCAACGTATCCGCCACCCCCGTTACCCGCTCGTCCCTCATCGAATCCTTATGGATTACCACCGACGTCTCAGCAGCATCGTCCGGTGTATCCAAGTGGCTATCCCCAGTCTTCTTATCATTCCTACCAAAAAACGAATCAAGGATATCCTCAGACGTCGAGATCATACACCCAACTTCCGGTGGCCGGACCATCACCCACGCAATCGCCAACGCTCACCCCAACATCAGCGAGCCCAACAAACGACGTAAACGGCAGCTATCTGAACTCACCGAGTAAATTAACATACAACGGGACCGATCCAAAAGGTGCCCCAGTCCCTGTGAGCCAGTCAAATTCTTTCACCGGATACAGAATGCCGGTAAGTGCATCGAGAAATGCAAACACGCACAATCTGCCAATCACCGCTGTTTCCTCGTACCATTCCAACCGAAATTCGAGGGACGCTATGGGAAAGGCTCAAGCGTTGCCGAGACAAAGGCCCGCTGCCAATTCAATTACAGTTCCTTCAGTTCCTACTGTACCGCGAGCCCCAGAATTCAACCCAATGACTTCAGCAGTTAACGAACGTCTGCCGGTGACCACAAGTGCAAGTGCTAATTACTCGTATTCAGGGCAGCAGAATTACCGAGCATATGCTACGACAGTGGCGCCAAGTCATCATAGCAGCTCTTCCACAACGACCGTGACATCGATCGTCAATGATACAAGACCAACCCAGCCGTATGCTGTGACGGTTCACTCGCGTTCGTCTTCCGATTCCAGTCGACCACCCCCATTTTCCCAACGTGTCGATAGCTACAATTACAAAGAGTATCCCTACACTAACTCATCGAGTCAACCCATGTCAAGGGTGTCATCAACTCCACCGCCTCAGGCTAATGGGGTCCCCATAAGGAAACGCGAATCCCCCCTCGATCTTTCCGTCAAAACTGTGAAGACCTCGGCGGATTCGACCGCACGTGATGATCTCGAAGTATCGGGTGATAAGCAAGTTAGTAGTTCCAGTGTTGTAAATTCGAGAAGAATGCTCCCACCGACCCAACCGTGTGCGGGTTATGCAAATTACGAGCGGAACGCCAATGGGCGAAGTTCCGTACCAACTCTGAGACCGGCAACCCCTCAGATGCCGGTCTGTGCGCCAAAGGTTGACTTCCTCCCTGACTTCAACTCGACGCCGTTGAGACACCATCACCCGAGTCAACCCAATCATCAACCGGAGAGTGACTTGCGGAGAACCTCATCGCAGCAGCTATACGTACCTCCTCAGCATCAAAATACGATATCCAACGTCCCGCTGCCTCGTATGTCGACGTTTAAGAAGAGCTCGCTTCCATCGACACCGTTGTACGATGGAAAGTCAGGACTGACGTCGTACCCCGCGATGAACGAGGCTGCGAGGCCCCCAATGAGGTACCCAGTGGAACCAACAAGACCTCAAGGACCGAGCGCCTATCCGTCTGAAACCAGCAAGTACTACCCTGAGAGTCGAGGCAAGTTGCCGGCGAAGAGGCCTGGGGACCCCCTCTATATGGCGAGCGGTAGCGGTCCCAGCAAGCACCCTCGAATTGACCACTGGAAGTTGGCTATTGATAAGGAGATCCAGCAGAGGCTCACCGCCGCGCAAATGCTCCGTGAGCAGCAGCAAAAACGTCAAGAGAACACTCAACCGACCTCGATGACCAACGGGACCCTGGTGACGCCCTCTTACCCTCCCAGGACTGACAACTCGGGCCGCTATCCATCAGCATTCTGTGATAAACGAAACTACTCGGAATCTAAGGTTCCCACGGTTCTCTACACCCAACTGCACTCGAAACCGGGTTCCCAGGTACCGGGTCATCAGCTGTCATCAGCTCACCAGGCCGCGTATCCACAGGGTTACCGCCAGGGCCAGCGGACCCCGTACTCACAGCCGGTCGATCTCCCCAGCAACACTGGCGCCGACAAACGCGTCCTCAGTCTCCTTCGCAATAGCCTCGAGAACAAGCAGCAGAGGGAAGAGCAGATGAACAGCCAACAGCCAATTTTGGTTAATCACAGCCAACAGAGTTTCCAGAATAAAGTGGTTGCGCCAGTTGAGCCCAAGACAAACATCGGTAGACACAATTTGTCGCCCTTCACAGCTGCAAGTTTACTGGAGCGAAATAGTAATACACCACCGCATTACAAGTTTCATGTGCCGAGGGCGGTAGACTCGATAACTCAGGAAATACCGAGGAGTCTGTATGGATCGCGTGTTAACTCGTCAGCAACATTGCCCGCAGGTAAGGAAGCGTTGCTCGGTCCACGGGATGAAAATCAGATTCATCGGGATAAGGATGACAGTCTGGCCGCCATGATTGCGGCCAAAATCCGTACTAAAGCGGAATTGAAACAGGTCGGTACGGGTCAGCTGTCCTCCAAGTCAGTGTTGGGACTCTCCCAGGAGCCCCATGATCTGGAGCGTGCGGCATCCACGTCGACACCGCAATCGGTGGCTTCGTCCGCCGGAAGTCCTCCGAAGCTTACGCGTGAGAAGACGCCGTGTCTGCCATCACGGAGGAGATTATTCTCAAGGTCGGATGAGGATAATCTTCCTGTCGCCGCGACGATACCGACACCGGCCTCCATTACACCAGCGGCCTCTGTCGTATCGAGAAACAGTGGCTTCCGCAGTTCCTCCGAGACTTCGGTCTTCGATTTCCGGGAGAGTGACTCCGAGACGGAAATGCCTGTGCTCGAGAGACAGACTTTGGAAGAAATGCGTCGTGATCGCAAGCAACTGTCCAAGGTCCAGCCGCCGGTGCCTCTCAACGACACAATGTGCTTGGGAATAGGGTCATCCGATCTCGTGAAGATCGAGTTGAAGGAGAATGATAAGATTACCGAACTCGACCCATTTTGGACGACGACCTGTGATAAGTTTATGGAGCAGTTGAGAACAGGAGAGAATAGTAAGAAAAGGGGTAGGAGGAAGAAAGTGGGTGAGCCTGAAGACGATAGTAGAGAGGGGCATTCCCGTGAGATTGAAATCAAACCGGAGAACATTAAGAAAGAGATTAACGACGATGAGTCGGTAAGTACAAAGCCTGATAAAGACGTTAAAGAGACTGAATCGACGAAAACTGAGTCTGAAAGTTCCTTCAAGCCTGATGCATCAATTAAAAAAGAACAAGTGGAAGAGCCGGAGGTGCCTGAGGAGGAGGGCTCTGATAATGACTCAGACGAGCTTCCCCTCATCAAGCGCGCCTCAAAGAAGAAGAAAACGGAAGACAGCGATGACGACGACATCATCCCTAACAAGCGATCGATGAGACGGGGGAGTAGAATCAAACTCGCGTCGTCCAGCGAGAGTTCGTCATCGAGTGGAGAGGACAGTGACGGAAGTAACGAGTTCGGTGGAACATCAGTAGCCCATCGATTACGTAATCGCAAACGATCGGGTGTGGGTGAAGCTGAAGGGATGAAACTGAGGTCTCGAGAGATGGGGCCTCAGAAGACGAAGGATAAAGACAGTAAGTCACCAAAATCGAATTCTGTCCAGAAGCCCAAGCCAAAGCCACTCTTCGGAGATGGAAGTGACTTCAGACCTGGCTGGGAAGAAGAAGTCTACGTCTACAAGAAGTCCCTGCGCATGCCGCCGCGTTTGATCAACGTCTCCAAGCCTTCAAGATTCCACCGTCTGTCGACTTCCCTCCCTGATCTAGATCCTGGCTCCCCGGCGTTGTCTGTCTCCATGGACAGCAGTGACGTCTGCTTGCAAAAACGGTCCAACGACAGTGACGTGGAGTCCAACTACAGTTTCAGTGCTGGACTCAGTAAGATCGATGATGAGGAAGCTACGTCATCAACGACGATGTCCGTCCCCTCGAAAACCAACACCCGGGCGAGGCGATCAGAGTCGAACTCGATCGTCGATCTCCTCGCTCGGAAGGTCGGAGGTAATAAGAAAGATCAGAAGAAGAAGTCGAAGGATCTGAAATCAGGCAGCAAGATCCTGCCGAAAGGCAGTAATGAGCCTGAGTTGCTACCGACGCCCAGCCTGACCCCTCTGATCGGAAATGAGACACCGAAAACTCCAGGCAAGTCCCCCGCCAAGAATAACAAGTCCGTCAAGCCCATCAACGTCACGGACTCGTATCTCCTCGGCTACTTCCGGAAAGAGACAGTCAACAACTTCCGGGATACCTTCAAGAACAACTACGCACTGCCTAACGAATTTTCAACCTTCGTTCTGAAGACGAGGACAAGAACTGAGACGCGGGTACTGAAGAAGCAGGCGACGATCAGGGAAGTCTTCGGAGAGGACAGACCAGCTTCAGCGCCACCCATGCAGAACCATGCGGGTGACACGTCTCAGGACGACGACTCACAGACTGAAACTAAAGAAAGTATATTAGGTAGAACGAAGACGTTGAAACAGAAGGTGGTGTCCAGGCTGAGGAATGTGGGGATTCTCAGGAGTCACAAAGCGGTTATGAATTCCAAGCGGCATCTGCTGACGGTCCAGAGGCGGAATCTCATGAAGTCACTAGCTGAGAAGAAGATCAAGAATATCAAGAAGGAGGTGAAGGAGGAACCCGTGGAGGACGGCGAGCCCGAGGAGGAGGTGAACGAGGGTAATAACGAAGGCGTAGAGGCCCAGGGGAAGAAGAAGCTGAAGCTCAGGACGGGGAGGAGAAAATTCCGGTCGGGATTCGATTACATTAGGAAGAAAAAGAAACCGCTGAAGAAGGAGGAGGGAGCGCCCAAGGAGAGAAAACGAGTGAGTACATGTTCTATGAGTTTTATTTGTTAATGGTGATTCTCTTCGATTCAGAACCCATAAGAGAAATCAACGTGGCGATGAAGTCCGCTATAACAGTTTTCATGTACGAGTTCGTTTTCTTTCGAATGTAATTTTGTCGTAGCGACTCAACATGTCTGCAGGGCACTAGATGTCGCCATGTTCAGCAGATGAGTTATGGCGGGAAATTTGAATTTGGAAAAATTGATTAGAATTGGCAAAAGTTGATTGTTAGGGTGGGGGACGGGAGCAGAATGAGGCAAAGGATTATACAGCATTGTAATATTGAATATTCTCCCTCATAGCAAGATGGCGATAAGCATAGATATGAGCATTGGAGTTCCTCCATGACAATTTTTACCCATACTATTAATGTTATTGATTGTATGAAAGTGGTACCGATATGAGGATTCGCCATTACGAATTTTCATCCGTGCTTTCTTTTTTTTCGAATGTAGCACTGTTATGGCGACTTATCACGTCTGCATCCCAAGAGATGTCGCCATATTTAGCAAACAAGTTACGGCGGGAAATTTGAATTTCAAAAAGTTGATTAGAATTTGTAAAAGTTAATTATCAGGGTAGAGGAGATATGAGCATTAGTGTTCCGCCATGATATTTTTTTGCCATACTATCTATTTTATTAATTATATAGAAGTGGCGCCGACATGAGGATTCACCACGATCTCAGATCCAGAATCCATAAGAAAATTCAACATGGCGATCAAGTCCGCCATGACAATTTTCATCCATGCGTTCTTTTTCTTTCGAATGTAGCACTATTATGGCGACTCCTCACGTCTTCGCGCCAGCAGATGTCGTCGCACTCAATTGACAAATTATGGCGGGAAATTTGAATTTAGAAAAAAAATAGAATTGCAAAAATTGATTGCTGAGGGCGGGAGGGAAGTTAAATCACCGAAAGGATTACCCATATTGTAATGCTGAATATTCTCCCTTACAGCAACCACCGGTGAGACCGAATGCTGAATGTGTAGCCGACATTCAAGCGGAAATCAGAACGTGGGTTATAAAGAAAGGGGTGGGAGAAACAGTTCTACACCGTGCAGCTAGACTCGGATACACGGTAAGTTAATTAAAACTTTTCAAGTCGACAGCATTATGATTAAAATTGTAAACTTGAGGATACAAGGGAATAACAATGTTACAGGATATTACACATCAGTAATTAACGTATTCCTGAGAGTTGTGGATTACACCGCGGAATTACATGTTGTAGTTCTCGGGCGAGTGAGGAGACGATGAAGAGGGGGGGAGAGATATTTAACGTATTCTGGTTGTTTGTTTTCAGGATGTGGCTGCTTACTGCTTGGAGAAACTGAACAGCCCACCCAGTCCCAAGGACAATGCGGGCTATACACCACTTCATGAGGCTTGCTCCAGGGGTCACCTCCAGATTGCCAAACTTTTGCTTGCGTATGGGGCTAATGTGAGTGAGAGTGCGAACGGTGGAATAAGGTGAGAACAACAATTTATTTTTATTTTTATCATTTATTCTATTTAAACAATAAGATTGTGGATGATAGCGTCCGATGATAGCGTCCGAAGGCCCAAAACAATACGCAAAATTTTGATGACATTTCAATGGATAATACTATGACATGAAAAGATAGAAGAAAAGAATTGTGAAATGAGCATTGTAAAAAGGGAATCCATTCGGACGCAAATTGCTAATTTATTAGCAACAATAACTATGCTCATTCATAAAACAGTGCCATTATCCATTTGTTATTATCAACGGTGTGACTTGAAGAGACGTTCATAGACATAATGATCAGTGATATTTAGCAATGTTAACAGCCGACAAATGGTGTTGATTCAAGCGGCTATTCTCACTTGTGTTGTCACATTAAAAAACCCCACAACAAATCCCTTTCAATAAATTTCATAGATTGATATGTTAACAATGGCGATACTCTGATTGCAGACCACTCCACGAAGCAGCGGAAAATGGTGCTACTGAACTCGTTCGACTTCTTCTGTCGTACGGTGCTGATCCGGTGCTGGCAACTTACTCCGGGCAAACACCCCTCATGCTGGCGGTTGACACTGACGCTTATCCAATTATCGAACAACACTTGGACGACGTTCAAGGTCGCTCAAGCACTCCATGGAGCTTCTCCGGTCCCTCTTCCATATTCGGTGGGTCAATTTTTTTTTCATTTACGTGGGAATTTCCACTGTTGGATTCAACCACATTTCACCCTGTCCCAAATCTTCATGATGTGGGGGGAGATTATTTTGATGGATGGTCTCCATGAGTGGATCATGAATATTAAAGGGACAATTTTCATATCTGAATCCAACAATTTTCGTTGCTCTTGTGAAATGAGTCGGGAATTTGGTGATGAATTAGTTGAGCGATGTGTCAGGTCGACTTTCAGGTAAACTCACTGGTAGTTGATAGTGCAAAACATTGACATTTGAGGATTTCCTGAGTCTGATCCAATGGCCAAATGAAGCTCATACGGTTTCTACCGCCAGATAACGAACCGATACCTGAAATGCCCCCAAAATGAGGCTCTGGTATCCGACAACCTCGAGGGAGGCACTCCGTATGTTCAAGGGTGCTAACAAGTCACTTCTTGCCTGAACCCCAAGGGAGAAACACAAATCGCCTAATGACGTTATTGACCAATTTCTCGATATTATTCTCTACGCAGTGAAATACTGAAGTGCTCTTTCAATCGATCTTTGATTAAACCTTCATCTATATAAAGAAATGAGATTCAAATTCAAATGTCCCGTTCGTTTTCATAAAACCTTCAGTCATATCCAAATGTTAGATATCGATTCCAACATGTAAGAGTCAGTCTATCTCAAAATGTCATGCATGAGATCGACAACGAAGAAATGTAAGTAGTTTCTATCTTTAGACCTCTTCACTATTAAAATCTCATGGCCAATGCTATCAAACATCAATGAAGTTCCAATAACCAGAAAAATTGTCAGTCATCATTTCAGTTCAAACTAAAGATAGGATCAATTTATAGAATATCTTGAGTGATATTAATTTATTATCATCATCGCCGAAAAAAAATCCACTGGTAGACCCTCGTGACCCTCCCGACCTCCATACGTTATTCTCAAGACCTAAACCTCCTCTAAACCTAAAAAAGAACCTCACAAACTATCAAATCACCATAGCCCAAAAAAAACCCCTGTAGACCCTCACCTCAAGATAAATTACGGAAACCGACTATTGAAGACTTCAAACCCTTGCGAATCTTCCGACCTCTATACATTCTCCTCAAGGCGTAAACTTCCCCTGGACCCCAAAGATAATTTCAAAAATTTCAAAATCAACATTACCCAAGAAAAACCTCCACCTGTAAACCCTCATCTTAAGATAAACCATGCGAGTCGACTATTAAAGTGTCCAATCCCTCGTGAACCTCCCGCCGTCCATACGTCCTTCTCAAGACCTCAACCTCCACCCTCATGACCTGAGTTTCTCAAGCGACCCACCGTCTCCTCTCTCAAGACAAACAACTTAAGCCTTCAGACCCTCGCGACCTTCATACATCCTCCCCAAGACCCTCTAAATCCCCACTAAACCCAAAAATAACCACCAAAATTTTAACTATCACGCGCATGACCTTAAGTCACGCAAGCGCCTTCACTACTGCCCATTTCCAATGTTAACGACTTCAGACCTTCTTGACCTCCCTATATCCTCAAGACCTTCTGAACCTCCCCTGAACCTCAAAGATAACCTTAAAAATTTTAACTCTTGACCCTCATGATTCTAAGTCTTTCAATCGCCCCCATCGTCTCCCATCTCAAGACAAACAACGTAAGCCTTCAGATCCTCACGACCGCCTTGACCCCTATGCGGCCTCCGCACGACCTTTTAAACCTCCCCTGAACCGCAAAGATAATCTTAGAAATTTTAACTCTTGACCCTCATGATTCTAAGTCTCTCAATCGTCCCCATCGTCTCCCATCTCAAGACAAACAATGTAAGCCTTCAGATCCTCACGACCCCCTTGACCCCCATGCGGCCTCCGCACGACCTTTTAAACCTCCCCTGAACCCGAAAAATAACCTCAAAAACTTAAAAATCTCTAGCGGAATGATTTTTTTGGAGTAGGTAGGAAGGTAACCAGGATAATGTTCGATATTAGTTTACAAGAAAAATTTACCGAGATTTGAACCCGGGACCTTCCGACCTTCACGACCCCCGTGACCTCTATGAATCTTCCCGACGACCTTCTAAACCTCCCGTGAACCCCAAAAATAACCTAAACAACTTGAAAATCTCCAAACGACCAATTTTTTGGAGTAGGTAGGAGGGCAACCAAACCAAGCCTTCCGACCCTCACGACCCCCTTGACCCTCATGCGGCCTCCCCACGACCTTTTAAACCGCCCCTGAACCCGAAAAATAACCTCAAAAACTTGAAAATCCCCAAACGAATTTTTAGGAATAGGTAGGAGGGGAACCAAAATAATTCTCGATATCAGTTTACAAGACGAATTTACTGAAAAAATGGAAGTCGGCACCGGGATTTGAACCCGGGAGCTTCCGATTATACATCGGGTCCCGACGAACCCCAAAAATAACCTCGAAACCTTTAAAATCCCCAGACGACGAAGAAACCGGTTACGATGCCCTCCTGGAGGCGCCTTCGCCGACCCCGGAGCCCGAGCCCGAGGAACTCGAGGTCGAGATGAGCGAGGTGAACCTCCCTGTGCTGTTCACCCTGACCAACGATCCCGACAAGTGGGTCCTCCTCCAGGATTTAATGTCCGCAGTGCGGGTGAAGAGCCGTGACGCCCTTCTTCGTCAGATAAATCCAAAAGCACCATCAGGACCACCAGTGGTAGCTCATCGTGAGGTTATGAGAGAATTAAAACTTCATGATTTTCTCGAGCAGTCCAGGTGCTGCCACCTGTTGAGCGCCGGTGAACGAATTAATGTTCGTGCATCGAAGGTAACACTTATTAAGTACAATGATAAGGTCAGGTCACTGTTGAATGTTGAGAGAGTTGTTATCAATCTGAGGTGACATGAGGCGCCGCTGGAGAGCACCTGCGGTTATCATTGTGATAACAGCGGGGATGGGGTATCAACTCTCCAGTCAGCGCCGTCTACGTCTGTTAATTCTAAGACTAGTGGTAAGAAGGAAGGGAAGAGTGGGAAGGCAACGAAACGAGAGAGACCGAGGAAAAAAAATTTGGTGGGGGGGAAAAATTGAGGCAATTGAAGTGGAGAAAAGTGTTAGCTTTGAGGGTGGAGGGGGAAGAACGGGATGTGTCCGATCTAAAAAGACACTGGCGAACTCTGACAAACGTCTAGTTTCGGAAATATGGGGGAAATAGAGGGCGACTAATTTTGGTGAAATTTTGGTCAAAAATGTTTTTTTTTTGTATGTTGGAGAGGATCGGAGATGAATGGGTCGTCACAGGGTGTTTTTCAGCAGAAATTTCCCGGGCTATGCAATGGGGTCATGGTTAACCACATGCAAATTATTTGATCAAAAACAAAATGGCGATTTTGAAAATTTCGACAATAATTTTTTTCGTAAAATTGATTTCTTCCTCTGATACGTAAAAGAACAGGAAATTTCCGATCCAAAAAATGCTTGGCAACCTCTGGCACCCACTTAGTTGCTGAGATGTAGCGAGAACAAATTTCGACCAATTTTGGTGAAATTTTCGTCAAAAATGTTTTGTCGCATATCTCGAAAAGTATTGAAGCTACAGGGGTCGTCAGCCGAGTTTTCCAGCGGAAATCTTTCGGGATATGCAATGGGGGCATGGTTAATCACATCCAAATTATTCGACAAAAAACACAATGGCGATTTTAAATTTCGACATTGATTTCTTCCGTAAAATTCATTTCTTCCTTTTATACGTAAGGTAACGGCAAATTTCGAATACAAAAAGACTGGGAACTCCAGGCATTTGTTTAGTTGCCATGACATAACGTGAACAAATTTCAACCAATTTTGGTAAAATTTCTGGCAAAAAATCGGAGAAACCGAAAGAATCTCTTTTTCTGGACAATGAAAGAACGAAAAATTTCCAATCCAAAAAGAGGCTGGCGAGCTCTGACATCCGCTTAGTTTCCGAAATTTAACAAAAACAAATTTCGACCAATTTTTTGGTAAAATTTAGGTTAAAAAATTGACTAAATCGAACAAATTTCGCCTTCTGGAACATGAAAGAACGGGAAATTTCCGATCCAAAGAGAGGCGGACGACCTCTGGCAGCGTTCGCCCAAATTTCGACCAAACTTGCAAAAATTTTGATCAAAAATTTGTTCTCTCATATCTCGAGAACTATTGGAGCTACAGGGGTCGTCATATAGAGTTTTCCAACGGAAGTTTCCCTGGCTTGCCAATGGGGTCATTATCGACCCCCTCCCGAGAATTCCTCCAACACTAAAAATCGAAAAAGTCAACTTTAACTCCCACAAAGCCTCAAATCTCTCTCCTTTCGAATGATTCTTCCAAAGAGACTCGAAACAATTGCAATAACCAGAATTATCAAGAGGGAAATGAAAACTAAGCAGCGACCTGTGACATTAAATTAGTTGAACCATTATCCAAGTGTAATAATTCTAGATAATATTTTATTAAATAAAACTGCCGTCTCACAGCGGAGGATTAAGGAATTTTAAATCTTAACGACACGCTTTTAATAGATGAAAAAACTGCCGCTATGACAATAGTACGTGCGTACGTCTTCGTGAAAGGAATTTGCGTTTTCTACAAATTCACGTGAATAATTATCATTAGCAAATGCAATTAGTTAGTTCCTTTAATTTGTTGAGTGTTGTTTAAGGCCAGAGGTTACGTAATTCTCTTGTTTGGTAAGGGGAATTATTGAATTTGTTAATTGAGTAATGAATTAATTGGAATGAAGATGATGAGACAATTCATTTTGCAATTCAGTTGTGAGAGATATCGGTTTTTTGAGAATATCTTGAAATCTATGGGAGATATCGAAATTTTTGTTATAAACTTTTTTGTAGAGGATTTCAAGGGCTTCAAAAAAGGTTCGGGTGATGATTTCGATACTTTTGATGGATCTCAAGATATTTGTGAACAACTGAACAAGGAAAATGGAATAACTCCATAAAATCATAAATTAGAAAATTTTTTGGACTTTAGATTTTGTTCAATATCTGGAAATCTAGCAGAGATATCGACATCATCATTAGGAGCTTTTTTATAGCACTTGAAATTCCCTACAAAACGTTCCGATCGAAAATTTCGGTATCTCCCTTCAATGCCGAGATATTCTCAAAAAACCAATTCATCCTAAACTGAGAAATTCTAAATTTCGTAATAATTTCTTTTTTCATTCACTCTTCTTTCATTATTAATGAACTAATTAATTAATTATGTCAATTCTGAAAATTTAATGAAGTCCTAAAATATTATTCCAGACATGAGACGTTGATTGACGTTTGCCAACTGTTTTAATCATATTATTAATGAAAATGTTACCACACGATTATTATTTATGTTTATTTCTACGAATCATGAGTTGTCTAGGTATAGCATTTAATTGTTTATCATGAGTTTAATGGGTAATGTAAATACTGAGTTATTGATTTATTATGTGGTACGAGATGTTTTTAGTGTTGGCAAGTGCAATTGAATGATTCTCAGTTTACTATTTTTTTTTATGAAAAGAAAAAATGGCGTTTTCACGAGGAGGGGGTCGTGCTGAGGGGTTCATAGTTTTTTCATTCGATAGCCAGGACAATTTCCGATCTCAACCCCTACAATTGAATCCATTTTGTCCCACTAGTTTTTGAGACATTCGATGTCGCAATTACTGACCCCTGAATTGTTTTCTAATGGGTTTTCGAAGAATGGGTGGGGCAAAATGGGTTCAATTGTAGGGGGTGGAATTGACAATTTTCCTGGCTTCAAAATGAGATATGACTGGACCCTCTGGGTGATTTAGTTCTCGAAATATTGAGGGAAATGTGACGACGGATTTATGATTCATTTCGTACTTTGATGAAATTGGAGGATTTTATTTCCTTTCTGTGGAAAATACTCTTGGGGATGGGATGCGACTGGAGATGTTATCGATCAAAATTCTTTAGTCAAATTATCCGTCATCTCTGTGCAATAACGGATTGAAAGCTGATTTCAAGTGATTTAGAGTGATTGAGGGGCGGAGTAGGAGGATTGGATCAGTTTTTGAGAGGAAATACCAGGAAAAACGACTGCTTGGAATAATTAGGGTCATTTGACCTTCGAAACTATTTGACCCTCAACTCCAAACATCCGTAAGGGACGTTTAACCCCCAAGATAATTTGACCCTCAACACAAAATACAAAAAAATAATCTGAGAATTTTGTTGAATAATCATTTTTCTCAGTGTCTTATTTTGCACAATTCAAGAAATTTTTTATTGGTATTTTTGTTGAGGGTCAAACGACCCTCGAAGAAGCTTGGAATTGAGACACAAATTGAGTTTTAACCCCAAAGGTTTTCAAGGGTTGTTTAAACCTCAAACTCATTTGACCCACAACCCAAAATACAACAAAAAATTTAAATTGTGTGAAATAATCATTTCCCTAGTGGTTTATTCCTCACAATTTAGGAAATTTTCTATTTATGTTTTAGTTCAGGGTCAAATGACCCTTGAAAACGTTTGGAATTGAGGGTCAAATTAACCTTAAACTCCAAACGTTTTTAAGGGTTGCTTAAACCTCAAAACCCTTCGACCCTCAACTCCAAATATCCGTAAGGGTCGTTTGACCCCCAAGATGATTTGACCCTCAACCCAAAATACAAGAAAAAATCTGAATTGTCTCAAATAAATATTTTCCGTTTTATTTTGCACAATTCAATAGATTTTTTAATTATGTTTTTGCTGTGAGTCAAATGACCCTTGGAAACTGTTGGAATTGAGGGTCAAATTGACCCTTAACTCCAAACGCTCTTAAGGTTCGTTTGACCCCAAATTCAAAAATGTTTTTATTCATGTTTTTGCTAAGGGTCCAATGAGCCTTGGAAACGATTGACTCTCAACCCAAAATACAAAAAAATCATCGAGGGTCAAATTGGCCCTCAACTCCAAACATTCATAAGGGTCATTTGACCCTCAAGACCATTTGATCTTCAACTCAAAGTACAACAAAAAATTTGAATTGTGTGAAATAATCATTTTCCCTAGTGGTTTATTCTGCACAATTCAGGAAATTTTTTATTTATGCTTTAGTTCAGGGTCAAATGAATTGAGGATCAAATTGACCCTCAACTCCAAACGTTCTTGAGGGTCATTTGATCCTCAAGACCATTTAACCCTCAACTCCAAACATCTGTAAGGGTCATGTGATCCTCAAAATCATTTAACCCACAACCCAAACTACACGAAAAAATCTGAATTGTGTTAAATAATTTTCATTTGTTTTTTTTTAGGATCAAATGGCCCGTGAAGAAGTTTGGAATTGAGGGTCAAATTGACCCCCACTCCAAACATCCGTAAGGGTCGTTTGACCCTCAAGAGTTATCTTAATAATTTTCATTAATGTTTTTGTTGAGGGTCAAACGACCCTTGAAGAGGTTTGAAATTGAGGGTCAAATTGACCCTCACTCCAACCATTCTTAAAAGTCGTTTGATCCTCAAAGACCATTTGACCCTCAACCAAAAACGAAAAAAAACGTTACCCGAATTGTACTAGACAGTCTATTTTCTTCGTTTTGCTACAAAAACTGATTCTCTACCCCAAAATCAACAAATCTCTCATTTTCAATAATGTCAACAAAAGAGTAAAAATCAAAAATCGTACTTACGTCATTTTTCACAGTCTTCTGGGCAAAATTGACTCGCAATAACAAAAAAAAAAAACAATTCAATCCGCTGATTAGCGAAAATGAAAATGAATTTCCTCTAAAAAATAATGAACCGGAGGAATTACCTAAACTAAATTGAACGATAATATTAAGTACTCAATCTCTTCTTCTAATACGAAAGAAAGAAATATAAGAAAAATCCTGCGTATAATTAATGAATTAAGAACTCCTGTAATTAAATTCATCTGAATGTTTAGTTGATTGTATCCTAGGCTATTATCCTGATAAATAAATAATTCAATCGATATAATCAGTCTCAGGGAAGTAAATCTACGTTTAAACGAAATAATTCAACTGAATAATTAATCGATAAAAAAATACATTAATTATCGATTTATGGTAATTGACGACAATTATGTATGTAACATGTACATGTGTAGAATAGTCCAACTTACTGTATATGTATAAAAAAATACTGAGTTAATTGATTAGTTGATTAAGAACAAATAATGCAAAATGAGATGATTAGAGATGAGAGAAAAATTGCATGATAACTATCTGATAATTGGGAGATGAATCAGTAAAAAATGTAAATAATTATTTTACGATGAGTGAAAAAAAAAACATTGACACGAGAACAAAAAATTAATGAATCATTAACTTTGAGATACGTTCCAACTCGATAATTAACAAATTAATGTACGTTGGTAAGATTAATTGGTTAAGGTATGATCTAAGAAAAGCAGAAACAAAATGCTTCTGTATTTTTAAGAGGGAGGTAATTATAAAGTGTACGTAGAAATCGCTGATTAAACGTGTAATTTAATGTAGTTGAATGTAATTTTCGTGTGAACATGGGAGTCACTCTTGTATGTACATAAATGAAAGTTACTACGTGCTATACCATTAATTCGCTTTTTTAATGTACGATATTGGTAAGTGAGGAGTCGATGTAAATTTTTTTTTTCTCTTCTCTCGATATTTGTATTTAGGTGAGTCGAGGGGAGATGTTAGTTGAAGAGATCTTTCAAATGTGTTAATGCTAATGCTTCGTGATGTCGAGGTGATGATTCGCGGGATTATGTATAGAGTGAAAATATATATTATATATTTGAGTTTGAATTTTTTGGATTTTCTGGTGAGGGCTCGTGGGCTCTGACACTCGGGAACTCGAGGGAACTTTGGCATGATTTTTTTTATGAGGTGTGTGGAGTCGGCACTCTGTGATTTGTAGAAATGGATTATATGGAATTCAAAGCAATTATCGTTTTCACTCTACTGTCTATTCGAATAAAATCATGAGGATTCAATGGTTGGTGTTGTTTATTTACCCTGTGAACATTGTTGGGGGGTGAAAGGGAAATTAATTGCCATTGACAGAGAATTTTTACAATTTTTTGAGAGACTCTCCCCATCTGCCATTGCACGATCAATTCGCTTTTTTAATGAGTGACGATGAGGCATTGGTGGGTGAGGAGAGGATCACGGAGTCGATGCTAATTTTTCTTCTTTCAATATTTGTATTTGGGAGAGTCGAGGGGAAATGTTAGTTGAAGAGATCTTTCAAATGTGTTAATGCTAATGCTTCGTGATGTCGAGGTGATGATTCGCGGGATTATGTATAGAGTGAAAATATATATTATATATTTGAGTTTGAATTTTTTGGATTTTCTGGTGAGGGCTCGTGGGCTCTGACACTCGGGAACTCGAGGGAACTTTGGCATGATTTTTTTTATGAGGTGTGTGGAGTCGGCACTCTGTGATTTGTAGAAATGGATTATATGGAATTCAAAGCAATTATCGTTTTCACTCTACTGTCTATTCGAATAAAATCATGAGGATTCAATGGTTGGTGTTGTTTATTTACCCTGTGAACATTGTTGGGGGGTGAAAGGGAGATTAATTGCCATTGACAGAGAATTTTTACAATTTTTTGAGAGACTCTCCCCATCTGCCATTGCACGATCAATTCGCTTTTTTAATGAGTGATGATGAGGCATTGGTGGGTGAGGAGAGGATCACGGAGTCGATGCTAATTTTTCTTCTTTCAATATTTGTATTTGGGAGAGTCGAGGGGAAATGTTAGTTGAAGAGATCTTTCAAATGTGTTAATGCTAATGCTTCGTGATGTCGAGGTGATGATTCGCGGGATTATGTATAGAGTGAAAATATATATTATATATTTGAGTTTGAATTTTTTGGATTTTCTGGTGAGGGCTCGTGGGCTCTGACACTCGGGAACTCGAGGTAAATTTGGGATGAGTTTTTTTGTTCACAAGAATTCAACGTTTGCTCCTATTTATCCACCATTTGTGTGACAAAGGGGTAATTAAATATTGTTAAATTGTTAAAATTGGTAAAACGTTTATTAACTATTTGAAAACGATGAAACAAGGTGAACATGAGATTGATAATTCAATAAGTAATATTATTATTAAATAGACTATAGAGTGTATAATAGGTATTTGTAATATCTATTCATTTTTATATTCACTTATAAGTTTTCATTTCTCTTGTTTATCTCTTATTCTTTACACTGAGATGCCTTAAATCCTTCGATACTCTACTTAATCAGGCACAACCAAATATCTGGGATTACAGGAGCTTCATTTTGTATTTTTTTAAAAATCTCTTTTATTCATTATTCGGGGCAATAATTTGTAGTTTTTCATCTTTTCACTCTTCGGTTCATATTTTCAGCGGTTGATATTCGTACGTTATTCGGAGTGTTGAAGGTAATTATGACTGATCGATAATATGATATAATGGAACTAAAACTTTTGAGATGAGGACGAAAATATTGGAATTTTTGGCTTATTCAGTAGTGTAAATGAGGGAAACTAATTTTTAACAACAGTTTTTGGAAAATATCTACAAGTTTTCCAGTTAGAAAAAACTAACATCAGTTTTGTCCTTCGTTTTATTGAACTTAAATAGGTTTAATCATCTTTGAAAGAATTTTCTGAGGAATTTCAAAGGGATAGGAAAATTTTTGTCAAGATATTTTTTGTAGAGAATTTCAAGAGCTACAGAAAGTTTGGAACAAAAAATTTCGCTATCTCCCATAGATTTCGAGATATTTGAGGAAAACTGAAATCCAAAAAAATTAATTCATCTTGTTTTGGAAGAAGTATAGATTTTTTGGGAATATCTTGAAATCCATAAAAGATATTGAAATTTTCGTTAAAACTTTTTTTGTAGCTCTTGAAATTCTCTAGGAAAAAGCTTCGAACAAGAATTTCGCTAGCTCCTTTCTATTTAGAGATATTTTCAAAAAACAAATGTCTTCTTTTTCCACTACTGAATTTTCCGTAATTTCCTTACGAACTATGTTCCCTTTCTCACAAAAGAATTCGAAAAAAAAAAAATCATTACGCCTCGAATAATTGAAATCCGCCATCGACTGATGAGAAAACTCAGGGAAATGAGGAACGAAACTTTACTACTCGATTATTCATAATGCAGGTGTATATTACAATTAAATCGACAAACAATCGCCATAATATCATTCTTCTAGGGGAGAGAGGAAATAAAACAGTAGGAAAAATGAGTATTTAGCGCAATTCAGAGGACTCTTATTTTGTTTTTAGTTGAGAATTGATTGGATTTCAGGGTCAAATGACTCAAGATCAACCCTAAATGTCCCCAAGGGTTGATCGACCCTTGAGACCATTTGACCCTCAACTCCAAGGGCTCTTAAGGGTTATTTGATCCTCCACACCATTTAAATCTTGATTAAAAACAAAAAAATCCTGAATTGTGCAAAATGAAACAGTCGAAAAAATGACTATTCAACGCAATCCTAGAATTTTCTTAGTTGAATATCAACTGGTTTTGAAGGTCAAAAGACCCTTAAGGATGTTTGGAAATGGTCTTGAGGGTCAAGCAACCCTTGAAAACGTTTAAGTCAAGGATCAAATTATCTTTTGAAGGTCAAAAGACCCTTAAAGATTTTTGGAAATGGTCTTGAGGGTCAAACAACCCTTGAGAACGTTTAGGTCAAGGATCAAATTATCTTGAAGACCAAATGGGTTGAAGTAGAGAAAGGCAGAAAGGCTTATTTAAGGGTCTTAAGTCACTTGACCCTTAACCCCATACGTCACCGGTCTTTCGACCCTTAAGACAATTTGATCCTCTACTCCAAAGATTCTTAATTATCATATGACCCTTAACCCTCTAAGGTGAAAGTCGGCCTGAGTAGTACTTTGTCCGGCGGAGTGGGGACGGGCAATTCTTACGGAAAGTGCGCAGAGTGGTGGAAACGCCCGTTCACCTCAGAGGGTTAAAATCATTTGAACTTTAGTCAAAAACGTCAGTGAGGGTCGTTTGACCCTCGAGGCCCTTTTTCCATTTACTAAAAGCAAACAGTTTTCTGAATTATGCAAAATGATATATTAGGAAAAATTACTATTTAGCAGAATTCTGATGTTTTTTGTTTTTAGTTGGGGATCATGAGGATCGCTTGACCCTCGAGATCCTTTTTCTATCAACTAAAAATAAACAGAGTGTTTTTGAACTGTGCAAAATAGAACACAGCACAATTCAGACAACTTTTTTGTTGTTTCCAAATAAAGGTCAAATGGTTTTGAGGGTCAAACAACCCTTAAGAACCCTTAAGAACTTTTAGCTTAAGGGTCATTTGACCCTTAACCCTGTGTCTTTAACTATCATCTGACCCTTACGACCCCTTGATCCTCAATTAAAAAAAAAGGAAAAAGTTTTCGGAAATATTTTATTTGGTTTTCAGTTGAGGGTCAAAAAACCCTTGAGAACCTTTGGAGTTTATGGTCAACTGGCCCCTGAGGACATTTGGAGTCGAGACTCAGATGGTCTTGCGAGTCGCTCAACTCTTAAGAATGTTTAGGGTTAAAGGCCAAATGGGCTCAGTTGACCCTTCAACCTACACGCCTCCATCCGTGGTTTGACCCTCAGGATCATTCAATCCTCAGCTAAAAACAACGAAAAATTCTGCTGAATTGTTTTAAGCAGTCGTTTTTTGGTGTTCTATTTTGCCCCACTCACCCCCATCATCATTTTGTTTATAATCATCAGCTCTCTCGGTTCATCATCCTCATGTCAGCAGTTCCTGGGGCGTAAATACTGTCTTCGAAGCTGAACGCATGCAGAAGAATTCCCCAGCATTTTTCCCGCTAGATTGTTTCGCTTTTGGTGATTATTCGTGATTTCTTCAATCATCTTGTGATAATTAATGATTGCTTTATCGTGCACGTCTTCATCGTAGCGAAGGCAATTAATGGGGAGTTTTTCGAGGGATCGGTGACTCCAAGATTTGGAGACTCTTCGTCGTCCCGAGGGGATTTTGGAGCTATTTCGATTTTTGGGGATTTTGATGAAGCTTGCGGAGAGATGAATCTGCATTTTCAATTTCTAGACAGATTTTTAATTTTTTTTTTAATTAATTTTGGATTTGAAAAATGAAATTTTGAGGAAAATTGAGAAATTCGACTCGAAATATTGATTAAATTCAAGTTGAAAAATTGGAAAGTTGATTTTTGGTATTTTGATATTGAGAGTTTATTCGTGAATTTATTCAATTTTATTGAACTTTTTTATTCAGATTTTTTCAAATTATTTTGAGTGAAAAATGGGAGATTTATAAAATTTTGTTTTAAAATTCGGAGAAAAAAATTAGAGAAATTTTGTTCTACTTAGTTAATATCATATTTTGTTGCATTGCTTTAATAAATTGTCATCATAATTTTTTTGTAAATTATTTTAAGCAGAAAAATCGAAAACTCAAAATTTCAATTTTTAGCATTTATGAAAATTCTCGAAAATTTAATCAAAAAATGAAATAATATGCTCATGGCGTAGTTACATTAAAACTTTACTTTAAAATCTTTTCCCAAATCTCTCCTCATCTTCAAAAAAATATTTCAAGTAAAAAAACGAAATTTCACGAATTTTCGGGTTAAAATTCTCAAAAAATTTCTAAAAACTAAAGAAAAAAAATAAAAAATTTCTCATATAATTGTTTCAATAAACTGTTATCGTAATTTTTTTAAATTGTTTTAAGCCGGAAAAATTCAAAATTCTCGAAATTTTAACTTTTAAAATTCATAAAAATTCTGTAAAATATAAGAAAAAAATTGAAAAAATATTCTCATGTCATTACACTAAAACTTGACTCTAGAATCTCTCCCAAAATCTCTCATTTTCAAAAAATATTTCAAGCGAAAAAAACGAGACTTCACAAATTTTCGTACTTAAAATTCTCAAAAAATTCCTAAAAATTAGAGACAAAAATTATAAAAAAATTCTCAACTGGTAATTAAGTTAACACTTTATGCAAAATATATTTCAATTTTTTTATCGAATGGTTTCTCACTAATTTCACTGGCGAAACCAAAAATTCTCAACTTTTCACTTTAAAAATCCTCAAAACATTTCAAAAATAAAAATACAAAAAAAAATGATTCTCATTCTGAAATTTCCAAAAAATCTTATTTATTTTTATCCTTCCAATAAAAAAAATGAGAATAAAAAAGTCAAAACTACCGATTAAAATTCCTGAATAGATTTTCAATGAGACAAAAAAAGAAAAAAAGCTTATCAATAATTCGTCCCTCCACATGAAAGATTCCTCGCAATCCCAAAAATCGAAGCCCCAAAAACCAATGAGATATCTCCCACCACCTCTTACATATCCATAATCATGAGAAATAGAGCCTACAGTAAACACTCAATCCAAATAACTCTCTCCTCCAATATTTTTCACTCCGTTACAGGCATAGGTATTTACAATAATCCATACCTACTAATTAATTAATAATAAATTACTCGTGGTATTTAAATTACAATAGTATCTCCTCGTCATTATCATCAATCATCTCTCCTCATTTCCCCAATATAATGTTGCACATAACCCAGTTACTGGCTTAGTCATCTATCTGTACAAAACATTATATACTTGGCTATCCTAAATAACTAACGATTTGTCCTGTGAGGTCAGATAGGATCGGGTTGCGCGATTTCGAGATTCCTTATTTCACCTTGAGGATGTCCAAGTGCTCGAGATCGAAATTACCTCTCGGAGGAATAACATTTTCAAGATTTTTTTATAACAAAAGTCCAGTTGAATGCATCACAACTGAGGACGATCGACTGGATCAACATTGTCAGCTGTTGACATTGTCAAATATCACTGATCATTCTGTCTGTGAGCGTCTCTTCACCGATAGAAAAAATTGTTCATTGAGACATTTCTTTCTTGGAACAAGTATTATATGCTTGAACCAATTTCAAATAAATACGATCTTCGAAGGAACTTCAATTCTAGAGAAGTTCGATTTCCCCCAATGAAATGTATCTCAAGAAGAGATAACTGGTATTCACTATGAAATCATGTTTATTTGAAAATTAACAACCAAATGATAATTGGTTCAAAGAATATTCTTTTAAAAATAAAAGCCACACATTTCATCCAATTTCAGTGCCCTCGGGCGCAATTTGTTCGTTGGGACATTCTCTATCAAGTTCGGACAATTGTTTTCGTCGGGAAAAGGTGGGATCAAGAAAAATTTTGATTGAAATCGCAATTATGGAATAATCTCGATTATTTCCTCCATTCTGATTTCTGATATTTCCCCGGCGTCCGGGAAATCATCAGACTGGATAACTTTTGCAATAAAACATCGAGAATGAATGATTTTAGGAAAAAATATGAAGAGGCATGTTTTGTTGAAAAAATTTTCAGCTACAAAAATGGTCTAAAGTCATTTCCTCCTAAAATCACTCACTTCTGAGATAATAATGTAAATAACAAACATGTTTGTCATTTTTCTACCTCACATTCATCATCTTCACGTCAATAACGTCATTTTTCAATAGAAAAATCAACAAGACTTCATGATTAGTTGTTTACAATCTCAATCAAGTGCAATTTGTCAATGTTCGTGAGAAAAAAAGTGCAAAAATGTAATTTTTCTGGAAGTAATTTCACCGCAGAGACCATTCAATCAAATTAGACACCCTCAATCATCAATTATTTCACCTATCATTCTCTCGTCATCAATCGACTCCTCCATTAGGTATGTAATCAACAATTAATGTCACCTCTCCAATTTAATATATCCATGTTTATTCATTCATTTAGTTCATTCTCTTATTTTTTTTTCTCGATTGAAATTAAAAATATTTAATCATCCATTTAATTAACTGTATAATTAATGACATTTCGATCACTAACAGGGATAAGTTAATTCAATCGTTTAAGTACATTAAAAAATACATTTTTGTGTTGTCCAATAATTAAAATTGTTTAAAAAATTCTTCAATCGACTTTTCGATGAAAAAGCGGAGATCAATCCGAGGGGTTCGACCGGATTATTTTGGAAATATCTAGAAAACCATTGGATTTAGGGAAAAATTCATCCTGAGCTTTTTTGTAGCTTATGAAATTCTCTAAAAAAAGTTCCTCTGACATTTTTTTCTAAAACTACTCGTTACTGAGATAATTAACAAATTGATCAATCAAATTCACGTAATGAGTGAAATGATCGATTTTATCATCTGTTAAAAATCGATTTAACTCGATAACAATCGATCTTACAAGAAAATGTCTCTAGACCTTTTTTACAGCTTCTAAAATTTTCTACAAAAAGTAATTCTGGCATTTTTCTCTAAACCCACTCGCTCTCGAGATATTCTCAAAAAAATCCCCCAATACTCTCCAACTTCCTCAAATCTCCAGTTTTCATCCCTCAAATCATTAAAACAAATGATAAAAAATCATCTTAAAATATCTCACGTGAATATTTTCATCATAACTCGATTATTCAACAGAATCATCTCAAATAAACACGACCATATCGAGGGTAAAATTACCTTAACGTGTCTCATCGTCATTTAATTCTCTTGTGATTTCAATTCTTCAATTTCCTTGAGGCAACGAGAAATATCGCACAGACGAGCCTCTATCAAAAATTGTGCTAATTTAGGTAGTAATTACCGTAGGGGCGGGGGGGAGGGGGGGGGAGGAAGGGGGAAGGCGCAGAAGTTCGAAAGTTGGAAGTTTTCTCTTAAGATTTTCGCTTTTGCTTTTCATTTCGATTTTGTGGCAGAAGTCGTTGGGTTTTACTACTCATTACGCCTTGGGGGTAGTGTCCAGGGATTCGGACTGGGCTGGTCATGGGGGGCAGGACGTCACAGTTGCTGGTCTCGAGATGGCACCCAGATGGTTGGGCCAGACTGCTCGTTGATGACTTCCTTGACTTTTAGGTAGATGTCCTCGGGGGTATCGCCTTGAACGACAGCTGAAAATTGAGAACTTTCACATTTTAGTGATTTTCACATTTATTGTTTTCGAATGGAGGAATTGTTGCATTGGGGAAATGTTGGCTGCCAACGTTGGGACAATGTTGAAGCCAACGTTGGGGCAATGTTGGTAGCCAACGTTGGGACAATATTGGCGGCCAACGTTGGAAAATGTTGGAACCAACATTGGGACAATGTTGGCTGCCAACATTGGCACAATGTTGGATGCCAACGTTGGGGCAATGTTGGCTGCCAACGTTGGCGCAATGCTCGCTGCCAATGTTGGGACAATGTTGACTGCCAACGTTGGCGCAATATTGGCTGCCAACGTTGGGACAATGTTGGCTGCCAACGTTGGGGCAATGTTGGCTGCCAACGTTGGAACAATGTTGGCCGCCAACGTGGGCACAATGCAGGCTGTCAACATTGCCCTAATGTTGGGTCAATGTTGGGGCAATGTTGGCAGCTAATGTTGACAATGTTGGCTGTGAGCATGGGGACAATGTTGGCTGCCAACATTGGGGCAGTTTTGGCTGCCAACGTTGAAGCAATGTTGGCAGCCAACGTTGAGGCAATATTGACTGTCAATGCCGAATCAGTGTTGGCAGCCGATATTGGGACACTGTTGGCACTGTTGCCCAATCAGTGTTCAATCGACAAAGTTAATGGTAGTTCAAGGATTAGAGGAAATTTGAATATCTGACATTCATTGTAACGTCCAATCGAAATTTATCGAATAAAATTCAATTCATCATGAGTTGTTCAAGTGATTAATTTAATGACAATACATTGGGTGATTGAAAATGTTATCATGAGAATTCAATGAATCATGGATGTATGGGCTTCATTTCCTCTTCACATCAACCCCAGGAAATCCTCAAATGTAACATTATTAACAAAACTCCCTTCAATTATTGAGCTGATCGTAAAATACTCGATCCACGTAATTGAAAAATTCAATGATTGATATTTCAAAGTAGAGCCTCGACGTGAAATTATCCCCTCCCAATTCACGAAAATTTATTTTCCAATTTCCCAACTCACCGGTGAAATATTCTCCAAACTCCTGTTCCATTTTCAGAGCACGTTCGTACGTCTTCTTGGCCTGCTCCTCAGTCATCCTCTTATTCATTTCCCTGTTGGAGTAGTTCGTAATAAATACATTGGCATTTGCAATTTCGAAGGATAATTGAGTGAATGTCTGTTATTGTAAAACTTCATTCAAACTTACATCACGGATTCTACGGACTTCGGCTTTATGAAGATGGCGACTGGGTACAACTGGGCGACTTGTAACCTTTTTATTGCGTTACCACTCACGTCGAGGATACAGTGTTTACCCTGATTAATTAAATAGAATATGAATTGATCAAGTCTTGAAAATTAATTTTTGTGAAGGGAAAAAGGTATCGAATTTTGAAATGGCTGATAATTTTGTGAATATCTGGGAAACTTCTGGATTTAGGGGAAAATGTCACATGAACTTTCTGTAGAGAATTTCATGAGCTACAAAAATGTCTTGTGGCATTTTTTTATACAATTATTTATTCTGGAGATAAATGCGAATTTCTAGTGATGAAAATCTTGAATTTATCTTTTTTCTTCGCCATTTAATTTGTTAATGATCGAATTATCTCGACATTGAGTGGCTCTAGAGAGAAATGTGATAAAAGATTTTTCATAGGGAATTTCACGAGCTACAAGAAAGGTCTAGGCATATTTTTCTCGAAACTCATTAGTTTCAGAGATATTCACGAAATAAGGAGAATAGATCTTGACGAGTGGTTTATTTCCCCTGAGGTCTCGCCTGCAGGAGTTGTCTCACCTTTTCAGAAACTTCTCGTACGGAAGCGACAGATGTACCGTACAGATTGTCATTGTATTGTCCAGCCTCGATGAACAAGTGATTCTGAATGTCTCGCTCCATTTGTTCTCTCGACGCTACGAAGTGGTAATCACGACCGTCGACTTCGTATTCTCTTTTACTTCTCGTTGTGTCTTTAATAAAAATGAAAATATGATCAATTAGAGTAATTGGTTTATTCCCGTGGATGAACATTTAATTTCTTTCTTCAATTGGATAATTGAAAGAACTCGTATTTTCTCAGTTGTGAATAGAATGAATAGAAGTATAAGAAATAATCGATGATTTTTAATTCTATCAGAGAAGATGGAATTCGAATACTAGCAAAATAAATGCTTAGGATTATTTTTACCCTTTTTGCTCACAATCCTAAATATTGTCAAGGGTCTTTTGACCTTCGAGACCATTGACCCTCAACCAAAAACTAAATAAACGTCTCCTGAATTGTACTGAATAGCTATTTTTCCTGGTGGTTCATTTTGCAAAATTCAGGAAACTTTTTTTGTTTTTGGTTGAGGGTCAAATGGTCTTGAGGGTCAAATTGTCTCAGGGGGCCTTGAAGATGTGAAGGGTCAAGGGTCAAATAACCCTATCTAATTACTTTATTTTACCTCTATTGACCCTCAAGACCGTTTGACCCTCAATTCCAAACGTTCTTAAGGGGCGTTTGACCCTCAAAATCATTTGACCCTCAACACAAAATAAATACAAGAAAAAAATCAGAATTGTGTTAAATAATCATTTTTCCCAATATTTTATTTTACACAATTCAGGAATTTTTTTCCATGTGTGTGTTGAAGGTCAAATGGTTTTGGGAGTCAAACGACCCTTAAGAATGTTTGGAGTTGAGGGTTAAATGGTCGTAAGGGTCAAACAACTGTGAACAATGTTCTGATTTAAAGGTCAAATGGTCTTAAGACCATCCAACTCCAAATATTCGTACGGGTTATGTGGCCCTCAAAATCATTTGACCCTCAACAGAAAAGACGAGAAAAAATATGAATTGTGTTAAATAATTATTTTTCCTAGTGTTTTATTTGGCCCTTTGGGCCAAAAAGGAAACTTTTTGTTTGTTTGTGTTGAAGGTCAAATAGTCTTGAGGGTCAAGTGACCCTTAAGGATGTTTGGAGTTGAGGTTCAAATGGACGCAAGGGTTAAACAACCCTCAGATTGTTTTAAGACTATTGACCCTCAATTCCGAGAATCCGTACGGGTCGTTTGACCCTCAACAAAAAATGTCTTGAATTGTGGTATTTATCAGTTCCTCTGGAGTTTCATTTTGCCCTGCTCTCCCTTAATGAGTAAGAATAAATGCTCACGTGGTACACAGCTGCCAAATTTGTCGGGGAATTCCGAGATCAAATCGTCATTGATACGATCCTTCAGTGGGCCCAGAATAATAACTGGACGAGTGTACTGAATGGTGAGTTGCTGAACTGGTTCATAAGACAGGACATTCTCCTCGCTGCCTAAAATTTCAAGTAAAAATTCCCACTCAGTTGCAAAATACCCGGAACTGATAGTTTCATTTAGTCGAAAAATCGAAAATAAATCGGGGTTAGCACACGGTCGAGTAGTTCCCCAAGTTCCTCATTGGGGATAGCCCACAGATATCAAGCGCATCGTTTAAAAAAATGATAGAAAAAGAACAGAAATGACGAAATTCGTCAAGTGAACGAATTATGCAAAAACAAGAAAATTATAAACGAATGACATTATCTGAACTTCACGTCTCGTTATTTACAATGTCGCTTCCCCCCAATTTTTCCCACTTGAAAATTGTCAAGATAATCCAAGTGCGAAACTATAAAATTTGAAAATAAAAATCCCAGTAAAAGAAACTCTTGAAAATATTGTCCAATTTTTTGTAGCTTATGAAATTCCCTCCAAAAAAGTTCTACGATAATTTTTTGTAGAATCATTAATTATCAAGAGAATCCCACATTTAACAAGATGTTAAAATCTAACGTTTCAAAATGAAAAAAATTAAACTCAGACTTGAAAAACTTTAAATAACAAAATCATTGAGAAATGTCAGGTGACCCAGGGTAAAATTGAGCATGAGTGGAAGCTCTGATGATCAACAACAAATGTTGAAAAGAATTTCAACGAATGAAGAATCGTCGAAGCACTTGGATATCCTTGAAGATCCCTAGATTTTCAGCATTAAAACGATAAGAAAAATTGCACGAGGCATGCACGCCGCGCCTGTCCCAGTTGCGCGAGGCGTCTCGTCACCACGTACTGCCAAAACCGTAAAATCTCCACTCCTCATCCTCAATGAGGATAATTTTTAATGCTCTCAAAGCTCATTAGTTCGTATGTTTCACTCAACTCTATATTTTTTTTTCGTTTTATTCACACTGACTTACTAAGCTCCTCAACATTCTCATCGCCCTCCTTTTCCAGATAAACTAAGGTCAGTTCTTCCATATAGGGCAGTTCAACGCGATATAAAATTTCTTTACTTCCTGTATTATAGAATATTAGATAATGGTATCAATGGTTTTGCGATGGTTTTTGATGTGGAGTGGTGAGAGGAGACAATTTAAAAAAAAAATTGCATTTCACTATTTTGGAAATAACTCGAGAACCACTGGTTTTAGGGGAAACTGTATTTAGATATTTTTTGTAGCTTATGAAATGCTCTACAAAAATGTATTTTCACATTTTTCCCCAATTATTCCCGAAAGACTCAACCGTCTTCAACTCGTCTCCTTTCACCACTCAAAATAAAATGAAATAATTCTCATGAACAAAATAAATAACTGAATATTGAAATAATTAAAAAAATTATCTCATATTTTTCTTATTTGTTATCTAATGAATTATCTCGTTAGGTAAATGAAAGCAACAAGACAATTATTACCTTCGGTGTTGGTGTCGTCCTGGGTGTAGCACAGCATGAATGCTAGAACATAATAATTTCACAGGTCCGTAATGAGAAACAAGCGGTAGTCCGAGTAGAGCTGAATGTTTAATATGATTATTTCTATTTCTAGCACTTGATTATTGGATCATTCATCTTGAATTACAACGTGGGTGATGTAATGATGATGTGCGAATGAAATTAATTGATTGATTAATCCCAATTTTCCAGAAAATTATCATTGTGTTTCTCGATTAGGGGTGATCGGGAAAAAAAAATACCAGTAAAAATAATTGAGGAAACTTTCTGGTTTGTTTTTAGTTGATGGTGAAATGGTCTTGAGGGTCAAATGACCCTTTATGACCACTTTTTTTCCATCTGTTTGATCCTGAATCCTAAATTTTTTAAGGGTCGTTTGCCCCTCGAATCCAAAAGTTCTTAACGGTCATTTCACCCTTAGAACCATTTGATCCACAACTCCAAACGTCATTAAAGGTCATTTGACCCTCAACTAAAACTGAAAAAAACGTCTCCTGAATTGTGCTTGATAGACATTTTCTCTGGCGTATTATTTTGCACGATTCTAGAAATTTTCTCTTTGGTATTAGTTAAGGGTCAAATGGTCTTGAGGGTTAAACGACCCTCAATGAGGTTTGGAGCTCAGGATCAAAAGGTGATAAGGGTCAAACCACCCTTAAGGATATTTAGAGTTGAGGGTCATTAGCTTGAGTACCAAACGACAACTGAAGACTGATTAAGAACCAAATGACCGTTTTTATAATCACTTTTCTTCAATCTGTTTGGCCCTGAAGACTATTTGACCCTCAATCCTAGATATTTTCAAGGGCTGTTTGACCCTCAACTCCGAACGCACTTAAGCGTCATTTGACCCTCAACTAAAAATAAAAAAACGTCTCTTGAATTGTGCTCAATAATCATTTTTTCTAGTGTATTATTTTGCACGATTCTAGAAATTTTCTCTTTGGTGTTAATTCAGGGTCAAATGGTCTTGAGGTTAAACGACCTTCAATGAGATTTGGAGCTCATAATCAAAAGGTGATAAGGGTCAAACCACCCTTAAGGATATTTAGAGTTGAGGGTCATTAGCTTGAGTACCAAACGACAACTGAAGACTGATTAAGAACCAAATGACCGTTTTTATAATCACTTTTCTTCAATCTGTTTGGCCCTTAAGACTATTTGACCCTCAATCCTAGATGTTTTCAAGGGCTGTTTGACCCTCAACTCCGAACGCACTTAAGCGTCACTTGACCCTCAACTAAAAATAAAAAAACGTCTCCTGAATTCTGCTCAATAATCATTTTTTCTAGTGTTTTGTTTAACATGATTCACGACATTTTTTCTTTGTTTTTAGTTGAGGATCAAATGGTCTTGAGAGTCAAACACATGTTAATAAAGCTCGAGGCTAAGCGTCAAATGGTCGTAAGGATTAACAACTCTCAAGAAAGTTTGGAGTTGACGATCAAATTGTCGTAAGAGGCAAACAGCTCTTACGACAATTACGAGACGTGTAGATTCAAGGGTCAAATGACCCTTTCTAATCATTGTGCTAACTCGTTTGATCCTGAAGATCATTTGACTCTTAACCCTAAACGTTGGTAAGGATTATTTGATATTCAAAACCATTTAACCCTCAGCTCCAAACGTCTTTAAGAGCCGTTTGACCTTCGAAACCATTTGACCCTCAATTAAAAACAAAAAAAAAGTTTCTTAAATTGCGTTAAATGTTAACTTTCCCTAGTATTTTATTCTACACGATTCAGAATGTTTTTTTTTGTGTCAAATGAGGGTCAAACAATCCTTTAGTGTGTTTGTAGGCGAGTGTCAAATGGTCTCAAGGGTTAAGCGATCCTTTAAGACGTCGCGGGTAAGGGTCAAATGACCCTCAAAACTATTTGACCCTCAACTAAAAACAAAAAAAATCCAGATTATACTAAATTTTTGCTCCGTCTCTTCAATTTTTATGAATTCAGAAAGATCTTGTGATGCGATGTCCTTTCAGAAAATCTCCGTAGAAATTAATTTGAGAAGAAAAATGTCACCTTTTCTGAAACTTTTAAAATTCTCTACAAAAAAAATCTTCAAACATTTTTTCGTAAAGCCAACCCCTAACGAGATAATCACGAAATTGACGAAACCTTTAATGGAAAACGATTTATTCTACCTGGATTACCACTGATGACTGATAAAATACTTTATACATATGTACAAAAATAATAGTAATAACAAAAACAATTGCGAAATACCAAGGAGATGGATAAGGTACTGATTATGGGTATGAGCAGAAGAAGCTGAACTGGTAAACGTGATTATTACGGATGGAAAACTAATTTGTTGTTGAGGTGTAATACTTACGAGTAGGATCGTTTTCATTCTCGGGTGTGGTGGGCGACCCTACACAAGCAGGCAAAAACAAAAACACATTTTCACGTATCACAGGTAAAAAAAAAATAATTCGACTGAAGCACATTCGGGATGGGGGGGACGTTAATCATGATGATGGTGAAATTAGTAGTGAAGTGGTGAAGCGAAACAATTTTTTTGCGAGCAAAAAGGGCGAAATTGAGGGTTAAACGACCTTAAGGGCATTTGGAATTCGGAGTCAAATGATTTTAAGGGTCAAACGACCCTCACAGACGGTTGGAGTTGAGGGTCAGGACCATTTGACCCTCAATTAATTACTATGTAGAACGACTTGGGTTTGTTGTTTTTAGTCGAGAATCGAATGGTTGTGAGGGTCAAACAATCCTTAAATAAAGGCTTGGAGTTGAGGGTCAAATGGTCTTAAGGGTTACCATTTAGAACAATTTGGGATTTTTTTTGACTTGAGGATAAAATGGTTGTGAGGGTCAAACGACACTTGAGAAGGTTTGGAGTTGAGGGTCAAGTGACCTTAAGGGTTAAACAGATTAGAGGAGAGTGATTAGAAAATGTAATTTGACTCTTGACGTCCTCAAGCATAGTTTGACCTTTACGACCATTTGACCCTCAGCCCCCAATGTCAAAAACACAAGTTTTTTAAATTGAGATAGATAAAATACCAGAAGAAATCACTATTTAGCACAATTCCGAATTATTTTTGTTTCCAGTTGAGGGTCCAATGGAGTTGAGGGTCAAACAGCCCTTGAAAAGGTTGAGGGTCAGAGCAGAGTTAATTGGGAAGGGTCATTTGGCTTTTAACCATACACATCTTCAAGGATCTTTTGCACTTTGAGACAATTTGACCCTCAAGACTATTGAGAGTTGAGGGTAAAATGGTCGCAAGTGTCGTTTAACCCTTGATACCATTTGAGCCTCAACTGGAAAACAAACAAGTTTCTCATTTTATTTTTCACATCTTCACCACTTCACTACAAAAATAAAATAAAAACATAATTTTTGTACAAAAATAAATGAATGAGTTAATTAATAATGAATTAATAATGTGGGGTCCCCATAGTTTGAATATCTCAAGAGAAGAGATCATCATTGTTGATTGTTAATCTCAAGATTAATCAGAAGGGATTCAATCGTATCTTGAAAAACTGATTTTTCGTTGCTTATCGCTTCTTCAATTCCTGATTGAGTCCTGAATATCGGTAAAGGGGGAGTAATAAACGAAAAACCGTGGCGGATACATCATGTGGAACAATAAACAATTACTATACATGGATTGACCGAGCGTGCAGATTGTCCGTGCACAATTGTCCAGAATTCAGTGATGGACAAAACTACTCACGTTCTTGGTCAGAGCCATCCTCAGACTTGTCGTCTTTGCTTTTCATGAAGGGGAATTTTCTGCTGAAGGAGAAGTTCTTCTTCTTTCTATCCAATGTTGATTGCTGTGAGGAACAAAACAATTGCCCATTATCATAATTAATCAACTAGAGATTCTTGTTGCTTCCGAATGGAGATATGGTATTCCTCAAATCTAAAATTTCCAATTTTTTGTGTCACGATAATTAATTTGAGGCAATGTTGGCTGCCAATGTTGGGGTAATATTGGTTGTCAACGTTGGGACAATGTTGGCTGCCAACGTTAAGGTAATATTGGCTATCAACGTTGGAGCAATGTTGGCTACCAATATTGGGAATATGTTGGCTACCAACGTTAGGGTAATGTTGACTACCAACGTTGGGGCAATGTGGGCTGCCAACGTTATGACAATACTGGCATCCAAGGTTGGTTCAATGTTGGCTGTCCACGTTGGAACAATGTTGGCTGCCAATGTTGCAACAATGTTGCACCCCGACGTCGGGGCAATGTTGGCTGCCAATGTTGGAACAATGCTGGTTACCAACGTTGGGGCAATGTTGGCTGCCAACTTTGGGACAAAATGTTGAATCCAATCATTGAATTTAATTCAATACATTATTATAGAAATTCCATTCGGAAGCTAATTTTCTAACTTTTTATCAAAAATACATTAACTATGTTGTGACGAAAGCAATTTCCCCACTTGCTTTTTTTTAGTGTCTCAGAAGCAGAAGGAGATTTTATCAATTTTTATCAGGAAACTTTCTCGCAACCCTTGAAATCGCATCCCATGAATTAAATCTATGAATTAATTATAGGGATAGATTGACGTTAAAAAACATTGCGGCATGTGAGTACTTTTTCTGAGGCTAATCTGAAGGCGAAGTGAAGAACTCTTACCTTATCCAATATAACGGGCATGTGTCCCTGAAACTTGACAGAGCGATCTCGAGCCCGCTGCTTCCTCTCCCACCTTCTGCGTGACGGAATAATCCCCAAGCCCTCCTCGTCACCCTGTGGGGTGACCCTTCTCGCTTGCCACCACTCGTCATCGCTCGCATTCGTGACGTGGAGTATCTCACCGTAACGGAAGGCGAGACCTCGACTCGGCAGACCGTCGTCCTTGTTAGGATCATAGTCGAACAGGGCTCTGAATAGCAGAGATGCAGATTAATTAGGTTTCCGACGTCATTTATTTGATTTCGGAATTAACTGAGAGTTCCAAGAATATCCAATGAAAGAGGTCAACGACATTCAGTTTTCATTCGAATATAATTTTTTCAAGGATCAAACGGTAATTGGGTTCATAGGGGAAGGACTAGTCTCTTCCATTTGACCCTTGAAAACGCTTGACCTTTCTGATTACTCTCCCCGTCTCTTCTGTTTGACCCTCCACCTGTTTCTCCCATTTGACCCTCGAGACCGTTTCACTGTGAAGGACGCTTGACCCTTCGTCATTTTTAGCGTAATAGAGGGTTAAATAGGAGGGATAGGCGGAGGGGTCAACAAGGTCAAATGGGAGAGACGAAGGGAGTGATCACGCCCTGTCTCTCCGATTTGACCCTTAAGAACGCTTGACCCTTCTGATTACTCTTCGCGTCTCTCCTGTTTGACTCTCCACCTGTCTCTCCCATTGAACCCTCCAGACCGTTTGACTCTAAAGAACATTTGATCCTTCGTGATTATTAGAGTGATAGTTCCACTTTGCCCCATTCTCCCTTAATTAAAAATCAGTCGTTCTTGAACTCTAGGATCAATCTAGCGGAGTTGAAGGTAAGTTTTATCGTTGCGCTGAGGGTGAAACGAGAGATCATAGGGTCTTGTGGGTCAAATGGGAGAGACAGGTGGAGAGGGAAAAAGGGTCAAACGAAAGAGATGATCACGCCACTGTCTCTTCCATTTGACCCTTAGGACCGCTTCACCCTTGTGATTACTCTGCGCGTCTCTCCTGTTTAACCCTCCACCTGTCTCCCATTTGATCCTCAAGACCGTTAGACCCTAAAGAATGTTTGACCCTTCATGATTTTCTTAGTAATAAGGGCTCTTCTTACCTTACGTAGAGTGATTTCTTCTGTGAGGTCCTCATGAGGGTGCCTGTTGTCATATTCTGCTGGGATATCTGTTGTTTGAGATCATGGATCTTTGCTTCGAACCTGTTGTAGTCCTCCGGTTTGTACTGAACGACTATTGTGACCGTTTGTCCGGTTCCCTATTAAACGAAACAATGAAAACAATTTTTATTTTCCAAGATATTCATTTAGAATTGAAAATAATTGGTTGAATCATTAATTGTCAACTGCTGACATCGTCAAATATCACTGATCATTCTGTCTCTGAACGTCTCTTCAAGCCATATATTTAATCAGATCGCAATGCCCTCGGGCTAAATTTGTTCGTTGGAACATTTTCTATCAAGTTCGGACATATGTTTTTGTCGGAAAAAGGTGGAATCAAAGAAAATTTTGATTAAAATCGTAATTATGGAATAATCTCGATCATCTCCTCCATTCTCATTTCGACCAATCAGAGTGCAGTATTTGGGGTCACGTGACACCTTTCACACAGGAAATCATCAGACGTGATAATTTCCCTGCAGCCTGTCCATGATTTTTTACGAATTTGACAGATATTCCCCACATTTTGGTGAAATGTGTCACGTAACCCTGAACATTGCGCTCTGATCGGCCAAAATCAGAATGGAAGAAATAATCCTCCGAATGCCCCTCGAGCTTCAAAATTCATCGGATATTTTCCTCAAGTTTTCCTGTATATCAACGATCAGGACTCTTGGGGCATTACAGCCGACAATGAAATATCAAATGTCTTGAAATTCAGCAAAAAGGGACACAAAGAGTCACCTTGAGTGCGGCCGCAGCCTCCTCATGTGTCGCAGTCCTAAGATTGATTCCATTGACGCTGAGTATCTGATCGCCCCTCCTCAGCTCGCCGCTGAGATCAGCTGGTCCACCGGCTAAGATGAACGAGATAAAAATACCCTCGCCATCCTCACCGCCAACAATGTTAAATCCCAGACCCGATGTTCCTTTATTCAACAACACCGTACGCACTTCTCTGTAATCATAAAAATAGAGAATAGAAATTAATTCATCGTCGGTCGATTAGTTCATCTTCACCGGGAAGGAGGAAAAGAGATAAGTGAGGGAAATTATGGGAGTTTGGCCCTTGTGAATGTCACATTTATGACAGATTTGTTGACCCTTGGGAACATTAAATTTGAGATGACATTCGAGAAAAAATATATTTTGATCTTCAGCAGACCCTTATGGGCAAAAAATCATAACCAATTGACCTTCATACAAACCTTATGACCGTTAAATTCATAAGAAACATTTTGATCCTCGTGGGGTTTTGACCCTTACGAACAAAAAATCAATTTTAAAAATTGATTCTTATGTGATCCTCATGAAGATCAAATTCATGAAGATATATGTTTTGACCTTCACTTACGAGTGTTGAATTCATGATAAATTCTGACCCTTATGAGCATCAAGTTTAACAAAAGAGATTGTGACCCGCATCTGACCCTCATGGACATGAAATTCATTCGATAATTCGATTTTTATCCGACCCTTAGGAGCGTCGAGTTCATAAAAAATATTTTAACCCTTATCAACATGAAAAGTGATAAAAAGGAAATTGACCCTTACGAACCTTTCTCTTTCCACTCTACAAAACAAAAGGTCTTGACTCTCATCTGACCGTTATCAGTGTCGAATGCACGAAACAACGACTTTGATCCTCATTGACTTGAAATTTATTAGAAAAATTGACCTTTATTTAGCCATTATGAGTGAGAGATTTATGCCCTTATGAACATAAAAAGTGATACAAAAAATTAACCCTTATCTGATCTTTACGAACCTTTTTCTTTCAATTCCACAAAGCAAAACATCTTGACCCTCACGAAGATCAAATTCATAAAAATACATTTTTTGACCTTCAGCTGACCCTTATCAGCGTCGAATGCATAACAAAATGTTGACCCTCTTCTGACCCTCGTACGCATCAAATCCATAAAAAATTGAGCTTTATTGGACCATTATAAGTGCTTAGTTCATAGCAAAGATCTTGGCCCTTATGAACATGAAAATTGATGAGAAAAATTGATCTTTACGAACCGTTCTCTTTGAATTTCAAAAGACAAAACATCTTGACCCCCACCTGACCCTTCCGGACATAAAATTCATAAAACAGTTGACCTTTATGTAATCTTACGGGCGTTTGACCCTTATGAATATAAAAATTGATCAATGAATATTGACCCCCACCTGATCCTCGCCAACTTTGTGCTTTCAATTCCATAGAAAAAAAATTTTTATTCTTATCCGCCCTTCATTCATGAAAATAAATACCTACATTAATTGACCCTTATTGTTTTTAGGGGCAACCTGACCTTAATCTTTTGACCCACGTGAGCCTCGAAGCGAATTGGTTTCCCTCATCAAGGAAAGGCAAAAGAGAATTTAATGTTTTTCTCTTTGAACAAAAAAATGCGGAGCAAATAGCATTAGATTGAGTTGCATTAGCGCGTCAATTGGTGCCTTCATTGGCAATTCAAAAAAGGCACGAGACGAGTGGAGGGGTGTGGGTGTGGTACTCTTGACTTAGTTTTCGTATAATGCGAGAGGACTCAGTATGTGGCGATGACGTTGGGGGTCAGCCAGACGCTTTCGACTTTTCGACCACTCGACAGAAGCATTCAACACTGTTTCTCTCCAGTGGGTGCTTCAATTAACAAAGAGACTCGCCCTTCCCTCCCGCCCTTCTCTTTTATTTTTTTCCCTCTTCCAGTCTACTATCTAACCCTCCAGATAACTCGCGAAAAATTAGAGGGAAAATATCGTTTGAAGACCGACTGCTACAGTAACTGGTCATGCATCAGTGAGTGATCAGCAAAAAATACAGATCAATTTCTAATTATTTATAGATTATAATTCCATTAATGACAGATGAATGAATTGGTGATGATGTAGTGATACATCGGAGAATTCTCGCATCCAAACCCTGCTCATGAATCCATTTTGCCACAGTAGTTCTGTTTGTACAGATTATTTCATTTCATTTAAATAAAGAAAAAAAAAAAAAAAAGTTTGTTCTTGAGGAACTAATGAGGCAAAATGGGTTCATAATAAGGTTTTGAAAGCGAAAATTTCCCCGACTTCGCATTGAGAATATTCTCAAATGCTCAACTGCGAATATAAAAAAATATATATTGCAAAGGATTTAATTGAGTGAAAAAAGATTTTTTTTTCTGTAAATAATTAAATGAGGGGAATTTGTGGGTAGTAGTGATAGTGTTGTGTCTCTAGTTACGTCAGTGGAACAGCATACATAGGTGCTATCGACGTTTGAAACTCCAGAGGAGAGTGTGGTACATAGCTGTGACCTGATAACGTTCTATTACCCTCTCCCTAACTACTCTCTATGTTTTTTTCACTGTGCGTAATGTGGATGCACCTCGCAAGCTGATAAGCTCGGAATTACACGCGCTTTTACCACTAATATTTGTGCTTCATCACCCTGACTAAAGTAGTTAAGTTTTCCAGACTGACTTCGATGACTGGAGGATAATTAAAAAATTCTCTCATTATTTTTTTTCGGTTTATGAGTGGGAAGGTTATCAATTTGGTATTTTTTTGAGGTTATCTCGAGGTATTTTTTCACATTTTCTTTTAAGAGGACTCATTATTAAGATGATTATCTATTAATTAGGAAGGATTTTATATTGAGCAAGGGCTCGGTGCCTGTGCTCTAGGGTTTTTTTTCAAAAGAAGAAAGCTCGAAAAGAAATGATATAAAAACTAAAATGATAGCAAGGTAATGGATGTGGAATATAAAAATTGGAACCCAGGGGTATTCTGACCCTGTGTCACACACGCAAGGGTCAAGAGTCAATATTAAAATTTAGACCCTTACCTGACCCTCATCAGGTCCAATTATCAATATTAAAATCCAGATCTTCATCGTCGCCCCAGTATTCGACCCAGTTTAACCGCCGCCTCCCACATTTGATCCCCATAAGAGTCAATATTGAAGTTTAAACCCTCACCTGACCCTCATATTGTCCAATCATCAATATCAAAACTCAGATCTTCATCGTCGTCCTAGTGATCGATCCCGCTCTACCTTTTCCTCCCATGTCTAATCCTTATAAGGGTCAAGATTAGAATTTAGACCCTCACGTTTGACCCTCATACTGTCACATTTGATCCTCATAAGGGTCAATATTAGAGTTTAGACTCTCATAAGGTCCAATCATCAATCATTAAAATTCAGATCTTCATCATTGCCCCAGTATTTCACCCACTTCTACCCGCTCCTCCCACATTTGAACCTCATAAGGGTCAATATTTGAATTTAGACCTTCACGTTTGACCTTCACCTGACCCTCATAAGGTCCATCAATATCAAAATTCAGATCATCATCGCCCTAGTTCTACCCCCTCCTCCCACATAAGACCATCATAAGGGTCAATATTATAATTTAGACCCTCAACTGACCCTCATAAGGTCTAATCATCAATATCAAAATTCAGATCTTCATCATTACCCCCTTATTCCCTCACTACTACCCCCTCCTCCTACATTTATGGTGATGATTATGTTTGGCCCTTGTGAGGGCCAAACAAAATTGTCAACTCCAAACAAATCGTCACATCAATCCGCAACTCCACCTTAACGAATGATCCGATTTCATCAACATCATATCAGATACGCAATTCCATCAGGAATACCTCCCCATGTACTTTTAAACCCACCCACACCCCAATCCCCTCAACAATCATATCAACCTGCGCATTAAACCTGCGTACAGAAAACCTCGTACGACTTTGTCCTCTCACCCGCAGCTGTTTTCACCACCACCTGTAACCTCACCTACATCATCAGGACCCTCCCCAACTTAACACCCTCGCTCCCCCCCCCCCCCCCC